CAGCAGGAGCTGCAGCTGTTCCGAGTCTCTGAAAGTCAGCCTTCCAGTACGAATGTTTAAATACAGTATAAATTAAGGTTCATGTGCAGCAGTGGGAAAACACTTTTGCTGTATAATGCAGATAGTACAACAGATACACTCTGCTGGTCTCATGCCTTAGGGAACGCCGCTCTGCAGTGACTTATTTCCCATGACACTGTCAACAGCGGCGGTTCAATATCTCCACAGCTTTTGTGCAAGAGAGCGCAAACTGGGCAGCCGTGAAGCACCTCGCCCAAAGGGGTATCCTGAGAAGCTGCAAAATGCTCTCGATAACCTCTCCCAGCATTTGGGCCAGAACACAAGTGGCTCCGATGGCAACTCCCATGGCAGACAGGACTCCAGCCGTGCCACGGTCCCAGCTCCCAGCAAGCACTTTCTGACAGCTCACATGTTCTTCCTCTTTCCTCATGATCACAAACCCAGGCTCTTTCAGCAATAGTTTCCCAAAACCCAAGATACACCAAGAGCAGCCCACGGTTAGGACAACTCAGTGCAAGGCCAGTAGCTGCAGCTTCTGCTCCAGTGGTTATTTATACAAAGCAGAACAACTCCAGCAAAAGAAATTGAAACAAAAACCCAACGAGGACAGCGAGGAGTCCAGCATCAACTTTCAATGCAACAGAGAAGTTGAGCAGAGACTCACTCTCATGGACTGGAGGCAATCCTGCCATAAAAAGCTGCTTTTGAGTCTGGCGTTAAACCCTAGTTTCACTGGCACAGCTTGGATGAGTTTAAACAGGAGCAGGAATTTGTCCTGGTATCTATGGGATCTGAGAGCAATTGGAGGGCAGGAACCATCCAGAGGTCCCTCAAGCCATACAGTCTTCTCCAGAGTTTTCAGTGGACTTTAGACTCAATCTCCATTTCATTTTAAGTGTGCCTTCAGAGGCCTTTTAAACATCTGTTGCTGTGTTTTAGTTTGAATGTATTTTTCCTGAGGTGAATATGTATGTAAATAACCCAGGGCGGACATCACATGTCGAATACAGGACCCTCCATTCAAAACCGGCCTTTGATTTCGACAGGAGTTCTGTGAACAGAAAGGACTGCAGCAACAGCCTCATGGTATTTTATTGCATTTCTGGTGATAGGATAATGTAGCAAATACAGCATTCGCGTTTGTTAGGAAAATATAAGTGCATCATTCCTAAACTGCGGAGATGCACAGCTTTCGGGATCAACTCCAAAAGATTTAACAGCCCACCTAAAGTCTGGCAGGCTGCTGGTTACAGGGAATGTGTCATTTTTTGGCAATTAGAACAGAAAGGTCTTTGTAATTATCAAGATAAAAACCTGGGAGCAAAGGAAAAAGAAAAATTAAACCACCAAAACCCTAAGGAAAAAACACATTTCCAACACAATAAGGGAAAATTCATCCTCCGAATGGAACAGGACTGGGCTGCACTGGGGAGGCGGCAGGTCCAGAGGCCAACAAAGCACCACCAACACCAAGAGCTCCAAATCTCATTTTAGGTACTTGTTTGCTTGCCTGGCCACCCACATGAAGCCAAGTGCTCTCTGTCAAAGGGCCAGCAAGGAAGGTTTCAGAAGCCACCAGTGGAACAATTTTATCTTGGTCCCATATGCTCAAAGCCTTTCACTCACAGCAAAAAACACCATGGGAAAAGCTGTTCAAGCAGTTTAACTGTGGCTGCGTGGCTTCATTGCACTCTATGGACAAGTGCTGGCCAGCCAAATTTATAGTCTCCAGTTTATTGTTACCCAAGACCCTCAGCTAGACTGGCTTTCCTAGGATACGTTACGGTGCACACACTACAGACGCTGCATGGCTGCTATGGCTTTTTGGAGATGTACAACAGACAAGAAGCCCCAGCCAGAGGTGAAAGTGGCCTAAAAGACATCAAACACCATCCGCTACCACCCTCTGATTGCATCTTTGTAAGCCACCATCAAAGACAAAAGAAATTAATGTCATCCAGGAACACCAGTTCCAAAACCCGAATTTGTAGCTTCTGGAATTTGTCAGAGGTTTTTCCAGCAAAAAGCAATCTGCTTTCCACAGGCAGCTCTGTGGATGAAGTTATGCCAAGTTTCTGTCAAACAACTGTTTTAATGAAATTTTAAGTCCAAGTCCAAATTTTTGCTCAGACTGCAAGGAGAGCCACTGCAGTGCAGACTAAAAGCCCGTCTAGCTTCACACTCAGCCTCCGTGTCTTTTCCTATCCGGTAAGTCCTCACTGTGAGGACTTGCTTTTAAATGGCTTTGTGGAGGCATGAGACAGCTGGGGGGCTTCTCCCAGACACTCTGTGCATCACGCCGGCTTGCAGAGCCCTGGGAGCAATGTGCCATCCACCCCCTGCAAGACCAGTGGCCAAAAGCAAGCTTCTGGAGGAGAGCAAAAAGACAGGGTTTTTGGCTATCAAGGCATAAAAATCTTGCATTATGGATTCAAAGAAGTTAAAGCTGACTTTGAGTATGCAAAATCATAACACACTCAATTAAAATGCTAACTGATTCCTTTTTTGTTCAGTTGTTTTACATGCACAGTCCAGTTCACCACAACACTATTTTTCAGAATGGTTAAACACAGATTAAAAACATGT